TACATCACCAAAACAGTCTCACCCGATAAATAAGTGGCGTAGGCCGCAAACAGTACTTGGAACTGTGCAGGAAGACAAACCACAGGTGGATACTCTTGGATGGCGTCAGCTAGGGTTGAACTGAAATTGCTGTTGGGTTGCTCCCCTCTCATTCATGCTGCTGTTGATGCACCGCACACGCTTTTGCCTGTTGACTCGGGACCTTCACCCAGTAGTAGCCCAACTCTCCTGATTCCTGAAGAAAGAAAATATTAGAAGGATGGAATAGCGTCAGTAATATGGCAGCTACACTGACAGTGTGAGGTTGGTCACTGATAACGCTGGGCTATCTGATGTCGCATGCAGGCAACGGCCTGTCTACCTACACTTTATGCGATATTTTTTCTCAAGAATCAATGTAGTCTACGCACTTGCAGTAGCATTCGGTGTGTCGGAAACGCGGAGAAATACTTACACAAAAACACTGCACGCAACCCCGGCGCCCCCGAGATGCCCAAACGTATCAAACACCGAGGGCTGCTCTTCTTGCCGCACAAGTGTAGTTGCTCAGAATAGCTGCGCCTGAGGTCAAGCTGAGGCACAAGCGAGCATACATTGGGAGCGTGAGCTCGAGAACACTTCGTCCCTCGCGGCGACGACAACACGAGCAAACAATTGAGTGGGCAGCAGCCGCCTCCGGCGTTGATGGTCAACTTGACTCAGAAAATCACAGCGCTCACGTAAGAAACAAGGCCCCTCAAGGCGTGAACACCTCTTCCCAATCTACCGATGGGCCGGCACCAAGTGATACAAAGTTCGTCACAAAACATCATCTCGAACAGAATGATACAACAAAGTACAAACGACACAGGCCCGACACGCCCTCGTCCCGATAAGTTCCAGGCAGTTTGCCGATAAAACTCGAAGAAGAAAATACCATGCCAATAAACCACGAACACCCAGCATGACTGAAACATAGCAGACCCCCTCCGTCCGTTTCCATGTATGAATGTGCACCTAGGTAAATACATTGGTCGGGCGAAAACGCGCACTCTAGCTGGCTGTTCAGCGTACGCCTTCTGCTTCTATGTCTGATAGTTTGCCACCCCGGGTCGTCGTCTCTGCCGGATGCGTTCGACGGAACGCAAGTGAAGAGCGAACCTGTTGAACCACCGAGAGAGGCGCGCAATATAAGGCATTTATTCATCGGTTAGAATATGTCAGATCACACGCACCCTTAGGGGTTAGAACAAGAGAAGGCAGCGCCCGTTCTAGATCTTTCGTTACGATGTTTAGATCTGACGTGCAAGAATGCCCGTCACGACACCCCCAACCCCAAGCCAAGTCCCTCAAGGAACAACAGACTTGCGGGAAAAATGGGAACGTACCCAAAAATGAGAATTGGCGTTTTTCTTCAGAACCATCGGGTGTATCACAGAACCAAAATTATCCTGCGAAACCCCTCCGCCCCAGCTGTGAGATGAGCTCATCAGAACCGCCATGCTCCACATCACGCCTTCTCACGGGCGCAAAAAGCGATTCGTGCTGGTTTCGACCTGATTTCTCGCGATGCTGGCTACCTCGGCGATGCCGAGGACATACAGCTTGAGCAACAGCTCATTCGAAAGCTGCTGTAAAGACCTACAGCACTGTCAACTTTTATGGGGGGAGTTGCAAAGGCGTGGTTTGCTTTCTAAAAACAAACGCCCATTCTCATTTTTGGGTACGTTCCCATTTTTCCCGCANCTACATGCACCAGCGTGAAGAAGTAGCCAGATCTCAGTTCCAGACGTCGTTAACGAGATCCGCAACACCATCATCTGTGTCTCCGTCACTCCGCACCGGTTTGACGCCCCTTCTCGCTCAACCCGTCAGATTCTTCGCCGCTGAAGCCAGATTTGCCCAAAGTCCACGTCATCAATCGTCGAGTGCACCGGTCAGTACCTTCTAATGTCCGCACTGGTCCAACTGACGCGGAGTGATTGACGTTATACCGTCGCACGTCGTGGTTGTTTCCTACTAGTCGGCGAAAATTGTCATCTACTAAGTTACCAGATTCACTTGTAATCGCCGCGGGGATTTTTGCGTGACGGGCTCCGTAGATGATCACAATGGGGGTACCCGGGGTTCCGCGGTGTACTTGATCAGGAAGTTCGCGCTCTGCAGTCTGAGCTGGGAAGAGTTTTGATACGACGTATCAGAGGGGTGAGTCCCTCACGAGTAGTGTCACCAGATCGTCACCAGTGTGAGTGCACCGTATGTATCACGAGGGGTGCGGCCTCCATAACGGGCACGTCGCACCCAATATTACGTATGTCAGAGTTTAGATGCGACGTATCGCAGGGGTGGGTCGCTAACGGTTAGTATCAACAGTGTGGGTGATACACAGTATCACGAGGGGTGGACTCCAAACCAGGCACGCACGCCGTATCCAATATTAATATGTCAGAGTTTTGATACGACGTATCAGAGGGGTGGGTCCCTAACGGGCAGTATCACCAGTGTGCGTGCTACGCCGTATCACGAGGGGTGGGCTCCAAACCAGGCACGCCGTACCCAATATTAGGGGGGCCCGTGGGTGTGAGGGTGGTTCCCTAACGTGACGAGTGGGTCCGTAAGACTTTTGGGGGGCCCGTAAGCCAAAAAGGGTCCCTAAGCGAGGAGGGGGGCCTACGCGACTGAACACTCTGAACAGGATGCAGCGCACCCTTCATGCGACTCGCAGAATATCTCACGGTGCTTCGCGCTTGGTGATGTGAGAGCGTGGTCCTGTGAGAACCCGGCGTGCTCCGTCCCGGCTTTATAGGGATGCGAGGGGTCAATGGTCAAACGACCACGACATGGACGACTATGAGAACACACACGCACACTCACACACCCTGCCAAAAAATTACCACATGACATGAGGTAGGGAGGGCATGGGAGCACAGCAACAACAGCAGAAGCATTGCGAGACGTTTCTTGGTGGACACGCCCCCCCAGCTTGTATGCCTCTTGCTTCTTTGTTGTTGGGCAATTGCATGATCATGTCCCTTGTTGGGCCCAAGATTAAGCTGCGTTTCTTAGCCCTCGTTTCTTATTTCTCGTCAACATTTTTTTGAGCCTTTCTCTATCAGATTTTTTCTTAATTGCGGGCCCGACCTGTAAGTATCGGTCGCCCCGGTGGAGGACGTAGTGGTCACCGTCGTAAACCTACTACTGTATTAACTCTACTATTAGCCGGGAGTGGAGTGGATTCTCCTCTCCGCATTCCCGAGACATAATAAATTCACCCTGCGGTGGAAAACGATTCGTTCGAGAGTATTGTCTTCACGCTTTTCGACGGTCGACTAGAGAAGGGGGGGGGGGGGGGGGGGG